TACGCCTGCATCTTTTCTGCCATGCAGTGGAGAGCCTGCAATTCCTTTTGTTACCTGGCAGAAAATGTTCGGAAATTACTTGATTGCTATTAATGCTACCGGAGACTCATGGCCTGATGCCAGGAAACGTGCCATCCTGCTACACAGCTTGGGTACTGAAGGCCAGAGGCTGTTTTACACGTTGCCTAATACTGGAACTACATTTGCAGATGCAATGAAAGCATTGGAGGATCATTTTGTTCCAAAGGTGAATGTTGTGGTCGCTCGACATCGCTTTCGCCAGCGTTCTCAACGTGCTGACGAGACCATTTCACAGTTCCTGTCTGCTTTGCGGGAATTATCTTCATCATGTGCTTATGGTGATCTAGAGAGTGAAATGTTGCGCGATCAGCTGGTCGAACGATCATATGCCCCAGCAGTGCGAGACAGACTCCTGATGGAACCAACACTGACATTGGACACAGCTATTGTCATTGCGTGTCAGGTGGAACAAGCGCTCTCGAATTCGGACATGCTCACGGCACAAAGTCCAGTTCAGGCCGTGGCTTCTAAACCCTTTCATCGGAAAAAGCGTGCTGAACAGTCTAACAGAGCAAAACCTGTTGCTGATACTACACGGCGGGGGAGCCGCGCGTGTTACCGTTGTGGAGCTACAAATCATCTGGCTAATGCTGCCGATTGTCCAGCTGCTCGAGCCAAATGCCGTACTTGTGGTAAGACCGGACATTTTTCTAAAGTTTGCCGTTCTTCTAAGGATGTTCGGGAAGTGGTCCCTGAAGTGGTCGTTCTTTTGACTGAAACCGTGAATACTTCTACAGACAAACTTTTGTGCAATGTTCATGTTACTACGCCAAATGGAGCTTCCGTTGAGACTGAATTAGTCGTGGACACGGGCTCTTCGGTGTCAATCCTGCCTGCGGTTGTGTACAAGCGACACTTTTCGGATTGTTCTCTTACCGCTCCTAAAGTGAAACTGGTGACGTACTTGAAAGAAGATATTCCTGTGCTAGGATGCTTACATGCGGACGTCTCGCTGAATAAAAAGGTAACCACTGCTTGCTTTTACGTTGTGAAAGGTGGCTCTGCTTTGATGGGCATGGACTTAATTCGAGCTTTGAACTGTTCTTTTCATTTTGGCACTGTTACTGCCCCTGACGAACTACATGCAGTTGTTGGTGAAACTATTCCTGCTCCAGTTACCTCTGTGGGGAGCGTGAAAGGATTTGTTCATAAACCTACAGTTAAACCTGATGCTACTCCAGTTCGACAGAAGCTTCGTCGACTTCCATTCTCTGTGCGACAAGCCGTTTCTGCAGAACTGGACTCGTTATTGCAAAATGGCATAATTGAGAAAATCGATTCATCCCCGTGGATTTCACCTATTGTTGTCACCACAAAGAAAGGGGGTAAAATACGTCTCTGTGTTGATCTGCGCGAGCCAAACAAGGCCTTGATTGTTGACAGCCATCCTCTGCCGCACATTGATGAGCTTTTGAGTGAACTAAGCGGCTCATCAGTGTTCACTACAATTGATTTAGCGGCTGCTTACCATCAGCTTACCTTACACGAGGACTGCCGGGACATCACAGCTTTTATTACGCATGATGGTCTCTTCAGGTACTGCCGGGTTCCGTACGGCCTTGCCTCCGCGCCTTCGGCGTTTCAAAAGATGATGGAAACTGTTCTGAAAGGCATACCTGGGGTAAGGAACTACCTGGATGATATCATAGTGTATGGTGCCACCCAGGAAAGTCACGATACAACACTGCGCTCAGTCATGCAGCGCTTGTCAGACGCAGGACTACAACTGAACCAGGACAAATGTACGTTCAGCCAGTCATCCTTAAAGTTCCTTGGACACGTTGTTTCCAAACATGGAATTTTTCCAGATGAGGAACACAAGTCTGCGATCATTGACGCTCCTGCGCCGCACGATATTGCTTCCTTGCGCTCATTTCTGGGACTGATTTCATGGTACAGCAAGTTTTTGCCGAACTTTGCTTCTGTTGCTGAGCCGTTGCGTGCGCTACTTAGAGATACGTCAGATACTAAGTTTGCCTGGACTGTGTCTGCTGCACGCAGCTTCAAAGAGCTGAAAGAACTGCTTTCTGGAAGTCAAGTGCTTGCTTTGTTTGACCCGTCCCTACCCACTATAGTGTCCACAGACGCTTCTGACTATGGCCTGGGTGGGGTTTTGACGCAAATACACCCAGACCGTGTTGAAAGGACTGTAGCGTTTGCTTCCAGGACCCTTACCGCAGCCGAAAGAAAATACTCTACGGTCGAGAAGGAGGCGTTGGCGTGTGTCTGGGCCGTAGAAAAGTGGCGGCCGTATCTGTGGGGTCGACACTTTACGCTCAGAACTGATCATTCTGCACTCACTACACTGCTGGCAACCAAAGGAATTGGCCGGGCCGGTATGCGGGTCGCACGGTGGTCGGCACGTTTGCTTTGCTACACATATGACGTTATCTACCGACCTGGACGTCTTAATTGTGCTGCAGATTGTCTGTCCAGGCTGCCACTACACACAGAAAATGATAGTGCTGTGGAGCCAGAAATGGTTGCTTTCATTACTGGGCTGCCTACATTGTCTGCTGAGGATTTCATAGCTGCTTCGGAAGCCTGTCCAGAGTTAACTCAGCTGCGCATGCGAATCGGGCAGGGCTGGCCGAAAAAATCCTGTGACCTGGATCCTGCTCTTGTGCCCTTCTTTCGTATCCGGGATGAACTGTGTGTGGAGGGTGTGCTAGTGAGGAGAGGTGAACATCGTGTTCTTGTTCCTTCTACACTACGCTGTAAAATGATAAACCTAGCACATGAGACACACCAAGGGATTGTTCAAACGAAACAACGGTTGCGTGAATTGTTTTGGTGGCCTCAGATGGATGCTCACGTGCAATCGGCTGTTTCTTCCTGCTTAACATGTCAACTGAATGATAAATCGGCTAAAACAGCTCCGGCTCCTCTTCAGCCTGTCAGTTTGCCGTCTGGGCCATGGGAGAAACTAGCGATTGATATCGTTGGACCATTTGAGAGAGGATCTTCTGACTGTCGTTTTGCCATTTGTCTGGTGGACTATCACAGTAAGTGGCCTGAGGTAGCGTTTTCTCCAAATGTCACTGCTGAGGTGGTCACATCATTCCTCCAATCGGTGTTCAGTAGAGAGGGAAACCCACAGTGTGTTGTAACTGACAACGGGCCTCAGTTCACCTCCAGTGTGTTTGCAGCTTTCTTAGAGGAGAGAGGAATAAGTCACATGCGTAGTAGCGTGTATTATCCACAAGGCAATGGTGCTGTGGAGAGATGGAACAGAGTCCTGAAAGAATGCATCCTTTCTGCGGAACAGATGGGGAAACCATGGAAACATGCAGTGACTGAGTTCTTGCAAAGCTACAGAGCTACCCCACACAGTACTACAGCCGTCTCACCTTCTGAGCTTCTTCATCATCGCAAGATGCGTACAAAGCTGAACGTTTTCCCTGTTGGCCCCAAAAGTGACAAATGTGCTCAAGTGAAAGAGACTGTGAGTAACAAACAGCTCAAGAGTAAAAGATACACTGACAAAAGACGGGGTGCTAAGTACTAAGTACTAAGGCTAAGGAGACCAGGTGAGAGTGAAACAGCCTGGGCATGTGAGAAAGGGTGGTTCTCAGTTCTCACCACCCCTGAGCATTGAGCAGCAAATCGGAAAGAGTACCTTTGTGTTGAGTGACAAAAAGAAATGGAATGTTTCTAAATTAACTCACTTTACTGGTCCTGTTACCACTCAGAATGAGAGCTTGCCACCACCAGTGACATTGAATCTGAGGAAGAGTAGTAGGGTACGTAGAATGCCAGGGTGGTTGAAGGAGTATGACTTACAGTGAAGTGAGATTGTACTTGTTTAAAAAAACATGCATCCTGTTGTGGATGTTGTGAACAGTTATGTAGAGACATAAACTGTGCATTAGAATTAGTAAAACAATGTCAATTACATTGGTTAAGTTTTTGTAATGTTAATAACAGTACACAGTAATGTTATGTTATTTTGTTACTTTAAACAAACAAAGTTTTGGTTTTGAACTTGAATCTGTTACATGAAGAATCTTTCAAGTAAGAGGGGAATGTGGTGTTCATAGTTAACCACAAGGTGGCAGTGTAATGCCTAAGTGTTGAAGTGACTGAAAAAGAATAAGAGATGTATGTGGAGTTCAGTAAGGCTGGCCATGTGTTGAATAAAAAGCCTCGAAGGAATTAATCTCGTCTTGTGCTTGTTATACTACAAAACACTACATTTACTACTTATGATGTTTTATGAGCAGGAAGATATTTGACCGACTGAACATATATGTGTCCCACGAGTACCTGATATTGAACTTTCTATACATACTAAATAGACTACTTCTTATGCTACTTCTTAGACTACTTCCTAGGCCTAGAGGTTCCTCTTTGACCCACAAACATAGTCCTGGCCGACGAGTACTAGGTCTCGAACTTTCTATAAATTCTCATAGACTCCTTTTGATGCTTCTTAAGCCATATAGAATGTCCATATCTTAAGTATTTAACTCATGTCTGGTCAAAGGGTCCTCAAAAGTTTTTAAACAAGAAAAACTTTTAGACTCCTTCTGATATTACATGAGCTATAGATAGGTCCCATTTTGACCTACTGAACATAGTTCTGGCCCACGAGTACTTGATCTTGAACATTCTAAACATACTCATTAACTCCTTTTGATGTTACTGAAGCCATACAAGAGTCCTTATTTTAACTACTGAACATATTTCTGGCTAAAGTGTTCTTTGAAAATCAGGATACTATACAGAATGTCCTCTTATCATGTTATTTTAGCCAGACAGATATTTGACCTACAGACTATATTTAATGCCCATGTGTACTTGATCTTGAACTTTCTACATACTCATAGACTCCTTATGATGGTTCAAAGGCCATATAGAATTGTCCACATGTAACCCATGTTAAATTTGGATAATATAATTGCATGTTCTAATAGTTAACTTTAAATTAAAAAGTTGAAACGATCTATTCATATACATTGTGAATTAATTAATATAAATTGAAATAATATGCATTGTAATTTAGCACCGAACACGTGATGTATTACACGTACACAAGTTGCGTATGACGTCAGCGCATGACACACGGAAGTGTGCGAGACGCGCTGAACGCGAGATGAGTGATGCAGAAATGGATTAATAAGGTTTATATTGTTAAAATTCATTTAATAAGGTTATAAGCAACTTTATAATACTTTGTGGTTGACGATGATGAATCATTTTAGAATGGTGATTGCTGATTTGAGTGCAGATGCTAGCCGATTGTGAAGCTTCTTTGAATCTGAAACGGGTGTTTAAAAAAACCTGTGAAACTCGGGATTTGGTGAGTTTATTTGTGTTTTATTTTCTAAAAGGGATGTATTTTATGTCATTATGCATTTTATGCACACTGTGAAGTCTATATTGCACATTTTCTGAATGTTAATGTGCTTTTTGAAATGTTGAGTAATATATTTTTGCTTAGCTATGAATGTATATTGATTTGCACATTGTTAATATGCCTGTGAGATATCACACGTTCGTCATGAAAGTGAAACTGTATGTTTAAACATTGTTTAAAGAGCAGAAAAGTTATAAAAAAAAGTAATATTAAATGTTAATGACACTGTTTTGGTAAAACAGGTCAGGTTTACTGCTTCATTGGAAAAATTCTCTCATGGATTTGAGATGGCGAGCCACCCAAAATTGAATGCTGATTTCTGAGCCTGGGGAAGAGGCATTTTTGCTGTATCACAAGGTTTTCGTTGCGCCAGAGACATCAATTTCTTCAGTTAGGAGGACTTTGCTTTGTTCTGTTTGGACCACTTCTTCGAACTGGTAGGAACTGGTGCATTTACCCACTGGATCTCTTAAAGGATTTTCTGGACAATATTCAAGAGACAATTCAAACAAAGAGTTAAAACAAGGGTGTTGTTTATTTAACGTTATTGAATGTGAGTCACATGTGAATATTGAATTTCCTTTTACCATTTCATTGTGACAAGAAGTTTCAGTTGGTCAAATTATTGTTTACATCATTTTATTTTGTTTAAGGGATTATTTTGGTTTGTTTAAACATGGTATAGGAAATTATGGCACAAAAAGCAGAGTAGAATAAGAACCTTAAACTCTAAAATAAAAAAAACGAAAGACAGGGAGCTGTCCAAAAGAAGTACAGAACAATCTAATAAGAGTCTTACTAAAGACATATGTAAACAGAGACAAAATAGATAACATTGATTAAACTGATATAAGGAAAAGAAAAAAAGGGATTTAAACCTTGAAAGAATAAGATAAGAAATTCAAAAGACCACAGAAGGTTTATAATTTGTGTATTATTTTATTGTTTTGTTATTATTGTTGTTTCATTTTATGTATGTGACTGTTCAATTTAAAATTACAAATACTTTCCTTACTTGATGTCTGTGATTCATTTACTGCCAATATTCTGTTCTCCACTGACCTAGAAACTGGTCCATTGCTCCAACCTACGTTGAGGGCCCTTGTTACATAAATCTTGGCGAGCCAGCCAGGAGAACAGTGGTAGTAAATATATCCTGAACGGGTTCCTAAAAAAAAAAGAGAGAAAATTCCGATTTGACAAAATTAAGATTGCGTCAGTCCTTAGAAACATGGATATCGTTGAAACTGAGAGTGTTAAAGTTGCAAACTCCGTGATAGTTCATGGGTTGACTGACACAGAGTGCGACGAAGACTTGATTGAATTTCTAAATAAGCACGGACACGTTAATAGACATCTGAGAGTAGATGACCTAAATTCGCCTTTTCACGGAGACGTCATTGTAGAATATTAAAGCTGCTCTGCCCTTGTAACTCTTGAGCCAGTGTTACCTTACACTTTCAGAAGCTCTCATGATGTCTCTTATGTCATATCACTCTTGTCAAGTACTTACTTGCCAGCAGCAACCAAGCAAGCTACCACCTGTTACTTTGCTGAGCTGCAGAAATTAGCTACAATCAGTGGAAGGACTTTTGAGGAACTTCTGCAAGAACAGTTATCTCAAGTCACTACTGTCACGATACACTTAACAAAAGTGAAGGGAAGGACTCAAGTGCAGTGAAGGGATGATTTATTAACAAAGTAAAACAAAACACAAAGCAAAAACCCACGAGGGGGAAAACATACTCAACAAAACATAAAACTGAACTTGAACTGAAATACCATACACTGACCATGAATAACACCAGGGAACAGGGGAGACATAAGACAAAGATCCAACACAGACTGCAAACATGAAGGAACTTAAATAGGGAACAAATCAAGAGGGAACAGGTGGGAGAACTCAAACACTAATCAGGTAACGAGGGGGAGGATCAAACAATGACAGGAGCACATGGCTCAACATAACAAAACCACCCATGTGCTAACACGACAGGACAGACACGTGACACTACCCCCCCTCAACGGAGCGGCTACCAGACGCTCCATCAGACTGGACGGGAGGGACAGACCAGGGCGGGACGGGAGGAACGGACCAGGGCGGGGGGGACAGAGACATCAGGCGACCGGGGCGGAACAGAAAGTCCATAGGGCGGTGAGGGAGAAACACAGAGTTCATTGGGCAGTGAAGGAAAAACACAGAGTCCATCGGGTGGCCAGGGCTGTGAAGACCCCTCGGGCGGCCAGGGCGGTGAAGACCCCTCGGGCGGCCAGGATGGAGCAGATCTTTCAGGTGGCCAGGGCGGTGAAAACCCCTCGGGTGGCCAGGGCGGTGCAGACCCCTCGGGCGGCCAGGGCGGTGAAGACCCCTCGGGCGGCCAGGGCGGTGAAGACCCCTCGGGTGGCCAGGGCGGTGAAGACCCTTCGGGTGGCCAGGGCGGTGAAGTCCCCTCGGGCGGCCAGGGCGGTGAAGACACCTCGGGCGGCCAGGGCGGTGAAGACCCTCGGGCGGCCAGGGCGGTGAAGACCCCTCGGGCGGCCAGGGCGGTGAAGACCCTTCGGGTGGCCAGGGCGGTGAAGACCCTTCGGGTGGCCAGGGCGGTGAAGACCCTTCGGGCGGCCAGGGCGGCGAAGACCCCTCGGGCGGCCAGGGCGGCGAAGAGCCCTCGGGCGGCCAGGGCGGCGAAGAGCCCTCGGGCAGCCAGGGCAGTGAAGATCCCTCGGGCGGCCAGGACGGAGCAGATCCCTCAAGACCAGACACCGGCTCGGGAACAGGCGCTGGCTCTGCCTCCGGCTCGGGAACAGGCGCCGGCTCAGGAACTGACACTAAAACAGACACAGTCACAAGAACAGACACAAACACAGACAAAAACGCTGGGTCCTGAACCAACATGAGCTCCGGCTCAGGGACAGGCACCGGCTCAGGGACAAGCACCGGCTCAGGGACAGGCACCGGCTCAGGGACAGGCACCGGCTCAGGGACAGGCACCGGCTCAGGGACCGGCTCAGGGACAGGCACCGGCTCAGGGACAGGCACCGGCTCAGGGACCGGCACCGGCTCAGGGACCGGGACCGGCTCAGGGACAGGCACCGGCTCAGGGACAGGCACCGGCTCAGGGACAGGCACCGGCTCAGGGACCGGCTCAGGGACAGGCACCGGCATGGCCTCCGCCTCTGAAACAGGCATGGGCTCTGGCTCAGGTACAGTAACAGCAAAGACTGGCATCTCCAAAATCCGAGCCAGATGCTCCAAATAGTTCGTCACAGCTTTCGCAGCCACGCAAAAGGGGATCTCTGGCTCGGTCTCAGACAGACAGATTTTGACAATCTCAAAATCCTATCATGAGCAATCTCTGCCTGAGCTAACCATAATCCCTTTGGAGAATTTGCTGGAAGTGGAGGCTGCGAATGGACAGGTAGTACCCTATTTGGGGTATGTGGAAATGAGGGTCAAGTTCCCTGAGGATTTTCTTGGGAGTACTGTAGAAGTGTCAACGCTTGCGCTGGTTGTTCCTGATACAAGTGGTACAGCTCAGCCAAAAGTGCTCATAGGTACCAATACTTTAGACTTGGCATATGGGAAGCATCTTGAAGCCAATAACACTGTCTGCAAATTCATTCCATTTGGTTATAAGGCAGTAGTGAGAGCGATTGAATATCGACGGAATCAGAGAATAAACAGTAATGTAGGAGTTGTCAGACTCCCCACCGCTGATGCCACTATCGTACCCGCAGGGCAGAATCTTGTCATGGAGGGAGTTGTGAGTGTAAAAGGACAAGTGACAGATAAGTGGGTAGTCATGGAACCCCCCTCTCATTCTTCTGTTCCTGGAGGACTTTTAGTTCCAAGCTGTCTTCTTGACTTACCTAAACATCCATCTCGTAAAGTCTCTGTAGTGCTTAAGAATGAGACTGATCATGATATCACCATTCCTGGAAAGAGTGTAATTGCAGAAGTCCATGCCATACAGAGAGTAATTTCAAGTAAGAGCACTCCGAAGGGTGACATGTCCTCCAATGGAGAAGAGAGATCTACTAAGGAACTCTGCTTTGATTTTGATGACTCCCCACTAACCACAGAATGGAAGGAGAGGATTTCCCAGAAGTTAAGGGACATGTCAGAAGTTTTTGCTATGCATGATTTCGATGTTGGGCGAACTGACAAAGTGAAGCACAGCATCAAGCTACATGACAATACTCCCTTTAAGCACAGGGCCCGACCCATACATCCTGATGACTTCGAGGCAGTTCGTCGACATCTGGAAGAGTTGCTTGAGGCTGGAATCATCCGGGAATCGGAATCATCCTTTTCGTCACCCATTGTGGTTGTCAAAAAGAAAAACGGCGATGTGAGGCTATGTATCGACTATCGTAAATTGAATACACAGACCATAAAGGATGCTTATGCACTGCCGAATCTTGAAGAAGCCTTTTCGGCACTCCGTGGAGCTAAGTGGTTTTCAGTGCTTGATCTTAAGTCTGGCTATTACCAGATTGAAGTGGAGGAGAAGGATAAGCACAAAACCGCTTTCGTTTGTCCTCTTGGGTTCTGGGAGTTCAATCGAATGCCCCAGGGGATAACGAATGCTCCCAGTACATTTCAGCGCCTAATGGAGAAGTGTATGGGCGATATTAACCTCACTGAAGTTCTGGTATTCTTGGATGATTTAATCATATTTTCTGAGACACTAGAAGAACATGAAATCCGCCTTTTGCATGTCCTAAATCGTTTGAAAGAATATGGACTGAAGCTTTCTGTAGAGAAGTGTAAGTTTCTCCAGACGTCTGTTAGGTATTTAGGACATGTTGTGTCACAGAATGGCGTGGAAACCGATCCTCAAAAAATAGAGACCATTAAAACCTGGCCAAGTCCTAAGACTCTCAAAGAATTGCGCTCTTTCTTGGGGTTTTCTGGCTATTATCGCCGTTTTATCCGAGATTACTCCAAGATCGCAAAGCCACTAAATGACTTGACTGTCGGATATCCACCGCTCCGCAAGAACTGTAAAGGCAAGAGCAAGATAACGTCTTACCTGAGTCCTAAAGTGCCTTTTGGAGGAAGATGGACAGAAAGTTGTCAACAGGCTTTTGACACGCTCATAGAGAAACTCACCACAGCACCCGTATTGGGATTTGCTGACCCCACACTGCCATACGAGTTGCACACCGATGCCAGCACCACCGGGCTAGGTGCCGCACTTTACCAGCAGCAAGGGGGAGAACTGCGAGCAATTGCTTTCGCCAGCCGTGGGCTTTCAAGGAGTGAGGCTCGTTACCCTGCTCACAAGCTCGAGTTCTTGGCCCTAAAATGGGCAGTCACGGAGAAGTTTTCTGATTACCTGTATGGAAGCAATTTCAAAGTGGTCACAGATAGCAATCCGTTGACTTATGTGTTGACATCTGCAAAACTGGACGCGACAAGTTACAGATGGCTTTCTGCCTTGTCCACATTCTCTTTCACTCTTCAATATCGGCCAGGAAAGAGTAACTTAGATGCAGATGGATTGTCAAGACGGCCTCATGGAATGCTTACCAACGACATGATATCACAGAAGGAGCAGGAACGCATACGTCAGTTCACTTTGCACCACTTACCTGAGGAGGGGTATTCAGTCTTGGTCTCCAGTGATGTAGTCCAAGCTATCAACGATAAACATCTGGTACGCACAGCTGAGGACGGTGATTACATTCCTCTGATTGAGTCCCTTTCTGTGAGTTCAGAGGCGATTCCTGAGACTTATGGATGCTTTGAAGGATTTCCAGTGGTTCCTCAGATGACAGAGAAAGAGCTGAAAGATGAACAAAGAGCTGACCCAGCAATACAGGAAGTCGTCTTACAGCTGGAATCAGGGAAACCTTCTTTGCCTGTACTGAGGAAAGAATTACCAGAACTCCCATTTTTCCTACGAGAATGGAAAAAGTTAGAGCTGAAGGACGGTATCCTTTATAGGAAAAGAGTGGTTGGTGAACATACAACTTACCAGCTTGTTCTCCCAAAGAATTTGAGGCCTCTTGCCTTGGAGCAACTGCATGACAATATGGGCCATATGGGTATGGAAAGAACCCTTGACCTTGCCCGAGCTCGTTTTTATTGGCCAAGGATGGCTACAGATGTGGAGGTGAAGATCAAGACGTGCAACCGGTGCGTGTGCAGAAAGACTCCACCTGAGAGAGCAGCGCCATTAGGGAATATTCAAGTATCTAGGCCACTTGAGTTGGTATGTATGGATTTCCTATCTTTGGAACCAGATCGTAGCAATACAAAGGACATCTTGGTGATAACTGATTATTTCACGAAGTACGCTGTAGCGGTCCCCACATCAAATCAGAAGGCCAAGACAGTCGCAAAAAGCCTTTGGGAAAACTTCTTTGTGCACTATGGCATACCTGAAAGGCTTCATAGTGATCAGGGGCCTGATTTTGAGAGCAGGACCATTAAAGAGTTGTGTGAGATTGCTGGCATTCGGAAAGTCCGAACCACACCGTATCATCCCAGAGGAAACCCGGTTGAACGGTTCAACCGAACGCTGTTGAGTATGCTGGGTACTCTGGGAAACAAAGACAAGACCCATTGGAGAGACTTTGTGAAGCCTGTTGTGCATGCATATAATTGCACTAAACATGAAACTACAGGGTTCACTCCATCCAGCTGATGTTTGGCCGGCAGCCTAGGTTGCCAATAGATCTCGCTTTTAGAGCACCTGTGAGTAACAGCCATAATGAGTTCCATTCCCAGTATGTGAAAACTTTGAAAACACATTTGCAGGAGAGTTATGAGCTTGCCAGAAAGAATGCAGCAAAGGTTGCAGCAAGGAACAAGACACGGTATGACAAAAGAGTGACCGAATCTTCACTTGATGAGGGTGATCGAATTCTTGTCAGAAATGTGCGTCTCAGAGGGAAGCACAAATTGGCTGATAAATGGGACTCTGAAGTATACATTATGGTGAACCGTGCTGGTGAGCTTCCTGTTTACACTGTGAAACCAGAAGGAAAGGAAGGACCTTTGCGGACGCTCCATAGGGACTTATTATTGCCTTGTGGTTTCTTGTCACCCTCTGTGGATGAAGAGAAAATGGTACTTAAGTCACAAAGAGGGAGAACAGTTCCGAAAGAGGTAAATGAGGAAGAACCAGAGAGTTCAGAGCAATGTCTGGATGACGAGGGAGATGACGATGATTATCTGGTGCAAGAAATTGAGCCCAATTCCAAAACCACTCCAGTGAAATTCGTTAAGGAATTTGACGTTGTGAGAACATCAAGAAAAATTCCATTCAGAAATGTTGAACCTGTTACCCAGATGCAACCTGATTCAAACCTTGCCAGTGCCAACATCATTGAAGGTACACATGAAGAATACTTACCTGAACCAGCATACTTACCTGAAACTCAGTCTTTTCCTGGACCAGCCTCTGTCCACAGTGATGTGATACCTGAAAGGGAAGTGTTGGAAGAGAAAATATGTCTGTCTGAAACAGAGCAACAAAGTCTGAATGCCCATGCAAATTCCAGAATGGAGAATGAAACCAACACTAACACAGAACAAAATCAAAAATCCATACCTCATATTCCAGTGGAAGGAGACAGACTGGATCCGATTGAATCTGCAACACCTGAAGAAGACACAGAATCGGATGAATGTGAAGCTGAAAGTAGATTAAGGATGTCCAAAAGAGTGAGACAAAGATCCAAAAGATTGACTTACCCTGAGTTGGGAAATCCCATGATATCTATTATTCAATCTCTTCTGCAAGGGTTGAACACAGCTTTCATTGAAACGTTAGAGCAACCCAGATCGGTAAAACACCCTAAGAAATAGGCCTTAACATTTATTATAAGGCATCATCACAACGCAAAGGGACTTGCGTGGATTTTAAGAGGGGAGGGTGTAACCCATGTTAAATTTGGATAATATAATTGCATGTTCTAATAGTTAACTTTAAATTAAAAAGTTGAAACGATCTATTCATATACATTGTGAATTAATTAATATAAATTGAAATAATATGCATTGTAATTTAGCACCGAACACGTGATGTATTACACGTACACAAGTTGCGTATGACGTCAGTGCATGACACACGGAAGTGTGCGAGACGCGCTGAACGCGAGATGAGAGATGCGCCGAACACGAGATGAGTGATGCAGAAATGGATTAATAAGGTTTATATTGTTAAAATTCATTTAATAAAGTTATAAGCAACTTTATAATACTTTGTGGTTGACGATGATGAATCATTTTAGAATGGTGATTGCTGATTTGAGTGCAGATGCTAGCCGATTGTGAAGCTTCTTTGAATCTGAAACGGGTGTTTAAAAAAACCTGTGAAACTCGGGATTTGGTGAGTTTATTTGTGTTTTATTTTCTAAAAGGGATGTATTTTATGTCATTATGCATATTATGCACACTGTGAAGTCTATATTGCACATTTTCTGAATGTTAATGTGATTTTTGAAATGTTGAGTAATATATTTTTGCTTAGCTATGAATGTATATTGATTTGCACATTGTTAATATGCCTGTGAGATATCACACGTTCGTCATGAAAGTGAAACTGTATGTTTAAACATTGTTTAAAGAGCAGAAAAGTTATAAAAAAAAGTAATATTAAATGTTAATGACACTGTTTTGGTAAAACAGGTCAGGTTTACTGCTTCATTGGAAAAATTCTCTCATGGATTTGAGATGGCGAGCCACCCAAAATTGAATGCTGATTTCTGAGCCTGGGGAAGAGGCATTTTTGCTGTATCACAAGGTTTTCGTTGCGCCAGAGACATCAATTTCTTCAGTTAGGAGGACTTTGCTTTGTTCTGTTTGGACCACTTCTTCGAACTGGTAGGATTGAACTGATTGTGCATTTACCCACTGGATCTCTTAAAGGATTTTCTGGACAATATTCAAGAGACAATTCAAACAAAGAGTTAAAACAAGGGTGTTGTTTATTTAACGTTATTGAATGTGAGTCACATGTGAATATTGAATTTCCTTTTACCATTTCATTGTGACAAGAAGTTTCAGTTGGTCAAATTATTGTTTACATCATTTTATTTTGTTTAAGGGATTATTTTGGTTTGTTTAAACATGGTATAGGAAATTATGGCACAAAAAGCAGAGTAGAATAAGAACCTTAAACTCTAAAATAAAAAAAACGAAAGACAGGGAGCTGTCCAAAAGAAGTACAGAACAATCTAATAAGAGTCTTACTAAAGACATATGTAAACAGAGACAAAATAGATAACATTGATTAAACTGATATAAGGAAAAGAAAAAAAGGGGATTTAAACCTTGAAAGAATAAGATAAGAAATTCAAAAGACCACAGAAGGTTTATAATTTGTGTATTATTTTATTGTTTTGTTATTATTGTTGTTTCATTTTATGTATGTGACTGTTCAATTTAAAATTACAAATACTTTCCTTACTTGATGTCTGTGATTCATTTACTGCCAATATTCTGTTCTCCACTGACCTAGAAACTGGTCCATTGCTCCAACCTACGTTGAGGGCCCTTGTTACACACATCTGACCTATTGAAATTATTTCTGAAAAACTTATGGACTCCTTTTGATGATATATAAATAAATTGTCAAAAGCATTATAAAAACTCTATAGTAATTTGGACACTACCAACCACCTAGAAACACCATAGGAACCACACAGAACACCCTAGCAACACTCTAGCAACACCTTAGCCAAGCAACCCAGAACACCTTAGCAACCACCTAGCAACACCCTAGTAACCACCCAGAACACCCTAGCAACACCCTAGCAACCACCCTGAATACCCTAACAACCACCTAGCAACCACCCAGAACACTGTAGCAACCACTGGGAACACCCTACCTGGTGAGATTTGCCACTGCAAGCACCACTTCACATTTTCTTCTGGAAATGTGCCATAAACGTGTTACATAGGTCAAAAATTGACCCATGTATAGCTAAAACAACATCAGAAGGACACTATAAGTTTATATGTTATGGAAAAAGGGTCCTCAAAAGGTTTCAAACAATATAAACATGAAATGTAATAAAAGAATTGATTAGTTAAGAGCTAAATCATGCCAAAAACATTAAAGAAACTCTATAGTAACCATATGTGAACACTACCACAGAAATACCGTACAGGACAGAATACCATAGTAACGACCTAAAACACCCTAGCAACCACCCAGAAACCCCCACCAACAAACAAGAACACCCCAGCAGCCATCTAGCAACACCCTAGCAACCATCCAGAACAACCTGGCAACAGCCTAGCAACAACCTAGCAACATTTATCACCTTAGCAACCACCCAGAATAACCTAGCAACCACATAAAAAAACCATAGCAACCACCAGAATACCCTAACAACCACCTAGCAACCACCCAGAACACCCTAGCAACCGGGTGGTGAGATTTGCACCTTCAGGCTCAACTTCACATTTTCTTCTGGAAATGTGCCATAAATGTGTTCCTGGTGCTCAAAAATTGACCTATGTATATCTAATATTTGATCAGAAATGAGTTCAATAACATCACGAGAAGTAAATCTATTGGTATATTAACACGCAGATCAAGTACCCGTGGGACATAAATGTGTTCCTGGAGGTCAAAAAATGGCCTATGTATATCTAATATAATTGACCACTGTATATCTTATATAACATCAGTAGGAGGTCAAATATTTTTCTGGCTGAAATGACATCATGAGAAGTAAATTTCTCGGTATACTCACCCACAGATCAAGTACCCGTGGGCCATAAATGTGTTCCTGGAGGTCAAAAATTGACCTATATAACTAGCTAATATAACATCAGAAGGAATCTATAAGTTTATATTGTTTTAAACTATTTTGAGGAACTTTTGACCAGAAATGAGTTCAATAGGTCAGATATGGACTTCTCGTTGGCTTAGGAAGCATCTATTGGAGTCTATGAGTCTGTATGGAAAGTTCAAGATCAAGAACTTTTGGGACAGAAACATGTTCAGTTGGTAAAATATTTTTCTGCCTTAAATGACATCATAAGAAGTAAACCTTCAATCAACCAGAACACCCTAGCAACCACCTAGCAACACCCTAGCATCAAACCAGAACACCCCAGCAAGCAGCTAGCAACACCCTAGCAACCACCCAGAATACCCTAAAAAAACACCTAGCAACCACGCAGAACACCGTAGCAACAACCCAGAATACCGTAGCAACGGGGTGGTGAGATTTACCGCTTCAAGCACCACTTCACATTTTCTTCTGGAAATGTGCCATAAATGTGTTCCTGGAGGTCAAAAATGTCTCTATTTTATCTGATGTTATAGTTATCTATGTATCTATTTTATCTGATGTTATAGTCAGACTCATTCTGACTATAACATCAGAAGGAGTCTAAAAGTTTATATTTTTTAAATCCTTTTGAGGATCCTTTGACCAGAAATGAGTTCAATAGGTCAGATATGGACTTCTCTATGGCTTAGGAAGCATCTGTTGGAGTCTATGAGTATGTATGGAAAGTTCAAGATCAAGTACTTTTGGGCCAGAAACATGTTCAGTAGGTCAAATATTTGTCTGGCTGAAATGACATCATGAGATGTAAATCTCTCGGTATATTAACCCACAGATCAAGTACCCGTGGGCCATAAAAGTGTTCATGGAGGTCAAAAATTGACCTCTGTGACATCAGAATGTAATATTACATAGTCTATGAGTATGTATGGAAAGTTCAAGATCAAGTACTTTTGGGCCAGAAACACGTTCAGTAGCTAGCAACCTCCCAGTACACCCTAGCAACCGGGTGCTGAGATTTGCCGCTTCAAGCTCCACTTCACATTTTCTTCTGGAAATGTGCCATAAATGTGTTCCTGGAGGTCAAAATTGACCTATGTATATCTAATATAACATCAGAAGGAGTCTAAAAGTTTATTTTGTTTTACATTTTTTGAGGAACCTTTGACCAGAAATGAGTTCAATATGTCAGCTCCAACCAACCAAAACACCCTAACAACCACCAAGCAACAGCCTAGCAACCACCAAGAACACCCTAGAAACAAACCAGAGAACACCCCAGCAACCATCTGGCAACACCCTAGCAACCACCCAGAACACCCCAGCAAACGCCTAGAAACACCCTAGCAACCACCCAGAACACCACCCAGAATACCCTAGCAACCGCATAGCAACAACATAGCAACCACCCAGAATACCCTAAAAAAACACCTCGCAACCACCCAGAACACTGTAGCAACCTCCCAGAACACCCTAGAAACCGGGTGCTGAGATTTGCCGCTTCAAGCTCCACTTCACATTTTCTTCTGGAAATGTGCCATAAATGGGTTCCTGGAGGTCAAAATTTACCTATGTATATCTAATATAACATCAGAAGGAGTCTAAAAGTTTATATTGTTTAAAACCTTTTGAGGATCCTTTGACCAGAAATGAGTTCAATAGGTCAGATATGGACTTCTCTATGGCTTAGGAAGCATCTGTTGGAGTCTATGAGTATGTATGGAAAGTTCAAGATCAAGTACTTTTGGGCCAGAAACATGTTCAGTAGGTCAAATATTTGTCTGGCTGAAATGATATCATGAGATGTAAATCTCTCGGTATATTAACCCACAGATTAAGTACCCGTGGGCCATAAAAGTGTTCATGGAGGTCAAAAATTGACCTCTGTGACATCAGAATGTAATACTACATAGTCTATGAGTATGTATGGAAAGTTCAAGATCAAGTACTTTTGGGCCAGAAACACGTTCAGTAGGTAAAATATTTTTCTTGCTGAAATGACATCATGAGAAGTAAATCGCCAACCAACCAGAACACCCTAGCAACCACCAAGCAACAGCCTAGCAACCACCCAGAACACCCTAGAAACAAACCAGAACAGCCCAGCAACCATCTGGCAACACCCTAGCAACCACCCAGAACACCTTCGCAACCACCCAGAATACCCTAGCAATTGCATAGCAACACCATAGCAACCACCAAGAATACCCTAAAAAAAACCCAGCAACCACCCAGAACACCGTAGCAACCTTCTAGTACACCCTAGCAACCGGGTGCTGAGATTTGCCGCTTCAAGCTCCACTTCACATTTTCTTCTGGAAATGTGCCATAAATGTGTTCCTGGAGGTCAAAATTGACCTATGTATATCTAATATAACATCAGAAGGAGTCTAAAAGTTTATATTGTTTTACATTTTTTGAGGAACCTTTGACCAAAAATTAGTTCAATATGTCAGCTCCAACCAACCAGAACACCCTAACAACAACCAAGCAAAGAACACCCTAGAAACAAACCAGAGAACACCCCAGCAACCATCTGGCAACACCCTAGCAACCA